ATTTCTTCTTGATTCTTACATAAGTTATTGATTTTTTTCATCCACTTCTTCTTGATTCTTACATAAGTTGTTGATTTTTTCCTCCAACCAGTTTATGCACTCTAGGACCCTTATTCTGAATTCTTTTTCTGACATATTGAATGCCTCTGTTTCACTTAGCCACTTTTCTGGCAATTCCTCTTCTTCTTTCCTTTGGGGGTTTCTTTGTCTACCCATTTTTGGTCTCACCGACTGATCTAGATGTCAAGTCGTGCAGGGACTGCTCGGGGGGCAGTCTTTTTCTGACATATTGAATGCCTCTGTTTCACTTAGCCACTTTTCTGGCAATTCCTCCTTTTCTTTCCTTTGGGGGTTTCTTTGTCTACCCATTTTTGGTCTCACCGACTGATCTAGATGTCAAGTCGTGCAGGGACTGCTCCTTGGGGGGCAGTGGTTCCTCGGGCTGCAGTTGCTCAAGTGGTCGCAGTAGTGGCTGCTCCTCAGTTGGCAGCAGCTTCTCTGGTGGGTGCTGTTCACAGCAATAGTGTCTCCTCTGGCTGGTAGGTGAGGCTGCTAGCACATCTGCTGTTCCTTGGACAGGGGTGGGCTGATCACGAGGCTGCTGCTCTTCAGGTGGGGGCGGACTTAGCGCAGCTGCTGCTCCTTGGACAGGAGCAGGCTGTTCCCATGGCTTCTGCTCCTTGGATGGGCGTGGACTGCTCACATGGCTGCTGCTCCTTGGATCGGGGCTGGCTGCATGCTGCTGCTGTTCCTCAGATGGGGCGGGCTGCTTGTGTGGCTGCCGCTCTTTGGACAGGGACAGTTTGCTTACAGGGCTACTGCTCCTCGTATGAATGCGGGCTGCTCGCGCAGCTGCTGCTCCTCAGATGGGGGATGGGCTGCTTGCATGGCTGCTGCTCCTCGGGCGGAGGTGACCTGCATGTGCTGCTGCTCCTCGTACGGGTGTGGACTGCTTGTGCAGCTGCTGCTTCTCAGATTGGGGACGGTCTGCTTGCATGGCTGCTGCTCCTCAGGCGGGAGTGAGCTGCACATGCGGCTGCTGCTCCTTAGATGGGGGCGGGACGCTCACCCAGCTGCTGCTTGTCGGACAGGTGCAGACTGTGTGTGGCTGCTGCTCCTTGGACCAGTGTGGGCTGCGCAGGGCTGCCGCTCCTCAGATGTGGTCAGTCTGTCTGTTCGTGTGGCTGCTACTCCTCGGACAGGGGCGAGCTGCTCGGGCGGCTGTGGATCATAGATTTTAAATGTAAGAACTAAAACTGTAAAACTCTTCTGAACACCTTTGGGATTTTCTCTGAACAGTTGTGTGGAAAGGAAGAATAAAACATCTTTTAATTAGTGAGGTGACTTACGCAATTTGTAAAAAAAAAAAAATCCTCCTTCCACCTTTAAAATCAAGCTACTTTCCATGTATGTAGGACACATAGGAATATGTAAAAATGCTTTTAGCAATGGCACCTGAACATAAATCCTTCTCTTGTTTACCAAGTTTTCCTTTAAGTAGCAGGTAACTGGAGTGCAGTGTGTCCTGTGAATACCTGTAATCAAGTGCCTGGGTCGGACACTGCAGATGTATTAATGGTGGTGGCTGTTTTGGACTGAAATGCTGATCCCTGGCTTCTGGTGAACTACAGCTTTTGCATCATTACTGTCCTCTCTGGGAGTGCTTTAAATTTATTCATGAAACTAGTGGGAGCTCAGGTGGCAATAGCTATATCCATTTAGTAATCAGAATAAGAGGAAAGCCACTTTCATGTTCCCTTGCAATGCTGCAGTGCTTAGCTAACTTAGAGGATATTAATTACTCAGCATGCTTTGAGGTGTAAAAGCATAAATTTGGCAAGACAAATGTGTTCAAGTCTAGATTTAAGAAACAAGAGTTAATTTAAAACAGTGCAAAATTTCAGGGAAATCAGGGACTAGCATAATTTAGCGTTTTTGGTTTGCTCCCACCCTCTCTAGCACCAGGTGGGAGACCTACTTGTTTGTGTTAAGGAAGAAAAGTTATTTTTACCAGAGACATTTGTAAAATTGACCATGCATGCCAGTGAGTTTATTGCATAAATTTCCCACAAGCAGTGTTCAGGAATGTTTCCATGGCAGGCAGAGGCTTCCTCCAGCACAGAGGTATAAAGTTGTTTTTCTGATCTGCAGGTTTTCCTTTTATTACTCTCTAGAGGCCCGGTGCATGAAATTTGTGCATGGGTAGGGTCCCTAGGCCTGACCCATGATCAGGGCCAATCTGTGGGGTGACGGGC